GACCATGACGGAGTGTAGTTGGGAGGGGGGGGGGTGACTAGTAGTAGTAGTAGTAGTAGTAGTAGTAGTAGTAGTAGTGGTATTAGTAGCCGCTGGCCTTATACCCCACACCAGACCAGGTTTGAAGAAAGGGGCCCGACCCTCTCTGTGCTGCCTTCACACCCATCTGTCATGAGTGTCCAATGGCAATTAAGGCATCGACAGCTACCGGCCAACTTGGCTTTCCTCCTGAAATACAGCAACTGAGCTGTCACAACACATCAACGATTAAGCGACCTTCGGAGTCGGTCCCCTCTGGGCATTCTCACGTAGTTGTGGCGCTTACCCCCGCGGTCAACTGTGTGCAAGCGGGTTGGATCCATTTTCTGCTCTTTCGATTCGTTCCACAATTGCTTGTGGCTGTCTCGTTCGGTCATGTGCAATGCTCCAGCAACGAACCGTACTGCGTTGAAAAGCTCTTGACTAAAATACCAAGCAAGACCGGAAGACCTGCTTGAATCGGTGCTTGATTTTGCAACCAAACTTGTCTCGAAGGCAGGGCGGGCCACTGTAGCGTAGCTGCTGCAACAGGAACTTTCCACTGGCCTGTCTCGGAGAAACCTTTGGTACGACTGTAAGACAAGGTCAGTTTTTGAGGTCAGGGATTCGAGTGTGCTACCGCGTTCATAGATAGCACTAACAGCCAAAGGGCATCGGCAATAGCAGCAGAAGGAGCGGCAGCAGTGAGTAGCATAGGCAGCAGCCCTTGCAGAATAGTTTATTGAGGAGATGTGAAGCTTTTAGCGAATGCAGCTCTATTACAAGTATGAGGATTTGTCGCTCCCTTTCGTTTCTCGGAGTTCCCTGTAGGGCAGAGCTCTCGAAGGCCCTTCCGAACTTGACTGCGTCTCTACACCGCCTCTGCGGCCTCCGACCTGATGCCAGCGAATCTCCCGAAATCGCAGGCCGCAGGCCCCAGTTGAGCTTTGGGCATCGACTTCCCTCAGAGTTCTTGTTTTAGCACCGCGCGAGCAAGGCCCCTCACACAAAAACGTGCCATGCTGTACCGCACAGACAAACCAGGTGCGGACTGCAGATAGCTCTAGATCGCTCAACCACAGCCGAAATGAGTCAAAATCGCTTCTCAGCAGCACTGACTCACTGGCACTTCTGCATGTGCATGATTGCGCATGTTTCGAGGGTGCACAACAAGGAAACATTGTGCCAGGGTGACCCCCCCTGTGCCCAGCGGATTGGACGGATTGAGATCTGCTTCAAATCGCCTCGGGGAGCAACGGAGTCAACAGTCCCGCAAGCCTCTTCTTACCAAGCTTTGGGCCCCCGAAGGAAGAACTGAGCGAAGAGTGGAGCATGCGCCAGGGACTGCAAAGCAGCGTTAAGGAAGCACCTCGCATCACGAGGCATCCCAAACACTGCAGAGATCTGAAGAGCTGCCACAGCCGCCAAGGCACGTATTGCCAAGATTTCGTAGGCCCACGGGCTGTGAACATGTAGCCCTGCAAAGCCGGTCTCAAACTCCTACGCTCCCGTTCGATGGCAACTCACAGGGTCTCCCGTTCAACGCGTCTTCAAGGTTTTTGATTGGCATATGCGAAGCAAGGGAGGTGCTTTGCAGGCCTTGTGGCGAACCCTAGGTGTAGCGTAGCCATCGTCTGATGGGTCGTGATGCATGTTAGCCTAACCATTGCAAAGGCCTTCGATGGTGCGGAGAAGTCTGGCAAGACCTGCCACGTCATGCGGCGCTGAGAAAAGATCGTAAGCTTAGCTGCAAAGTTGAAAAGTTCTGCAACAAATCCCGCACACACTTAACTCTGATGTGGAAAGAGAAGGCCAGCTCAGCTGTTGCGCTGAATGCAAACAAGCTGAACCATGTCAGTCACGTTGCCTCACTTGCCCAAGCAAGCCTATTTACACAAGTAACCGAGAAGAACTGAAATACCCTTGCATGACTTCACGTCCCGCCAGACAAGCTGATGGACTCCGGCTGAAACCGAGCAGCGCGCACGCGGGGGCCGAGCCGCAGGAGCCGCAGAAACCCTGCAGCAGGCTGGGGAAGGTCACAGAAGCAAGGGCAAGGAAGGACAGTACAATACCATTAAAAAAATCAAGGCACACCTTGGCTGAGCTTCTCAGCCCTTCAAGTCCACATTGTCTGTCTGGACCCAGGTCCACCTTCCAAGTTTACAGTCCGAACCGCAAAGAGTTGACTCCAGAATGCATCGCGCAAGACGGGAAAGTTCGGCTTGAGGCCTTGCTGTCATGCCGAGGGTCGGTCAGAGGTGGTTCTGAGGAGACGCGCTTCTGCCTGACTTGTGACGGACGGCCGGCTCACGGCGACTGCACACTTTTGCCACGGGATTCCTGCTGCTCGGACTTAACAAATATCAGAATGGTCGTCATCATGGTGGAACAGTCGTAGTACTAGTGGTGGTAGCGGGTGTAGTAGTCGTAGCAGCCGCGTCGTCGTAGTCGTCGTCGTCGTCGTAGTAGTAGTAGTAGCAGCAGCAGCAGCAGCGGCAGCAGCAGAAGTAGTAGTAGTAGTCGTCGTCGTCGCCGCCGTCGTCGTCGTAGTGCAGTAGCAGTTGCATTCGGAGTCGGAATCAGGAAAGGCTGAAGGCAGAATCCTCACCACCAGATGAGGCAATCTAACGGGGCATTTGCACATTATTATACCCCGACAGACGGACGGGCGGACGAACTGACACACGAATGATAGACAGACACAGCCTAGACTGCAAACCACTGCACTTCAATATGCTACATTTTGGTCGTCAGTCTATCTCATGTTGCGCAAATGGGCACATAAACATACGGGTCATACAGGTCCAGAAGGCAGGCTAAATGAAACTAGCTTGTCCTCGTCGTCAACATCACGCCCCTCAAATATTGATAGCATGCTTGTTGCGCAAGCAAAACACGGCTGCATGGCGATGTAATATGGTTTTGTGCCATGCAACTTGGATAATGATACAGAGATACTCACTGCATGTCCGTCGTACATTTTTTCCTTTTCGGCAGCTGTAACTGCAGAGTCGTGATCTTCACTTATCCGGCCGGGGGGGCATGTCCTCCGCTGCCAAACAGATGCGTCATCTGGGGGGCTTGCTCTGGGTGTGATTCTAGGAGCATTGGCTTGTGTCACACCGCATGTTGAGCAGAAGAGAGCATCCCCGGCTACAGCCTACTGGAAGCCAGGGCCGTTCGCAGTCCGCGATGACTCCCGGCAGACAGGCAAAGCCAGCGGAGTCAACGCCAAGCTCGCTGAGCTCAGATTTCAGGACATGCGAGCTCTCGGCATGTACCACTTCCAGACTAAAACCGATCGCAGATTAAACTGACGCCTACTGATCTCCTACCTATGTGCATGGGGTGGTGTACACATGCCAGCTTGCCAGCTTCATCAGCTTCTCTGCAGGGCGCACTATCACGCACTGACGTTTTGGCGATACACATCTGTTGAAAGTTTTGCTGGCAAAGGGCAGCTGCACTCCACGCCTGTCTGGCAGATCCGAGAATCAACAAGCATTACTGAGTTGACCATGGAGTATTACCAGGTTGATACAAGTTGATACTCGGACCGAAAGCTTCACTACTGTCAAAGATATGTATAAAGCGCAGCTGATGCACGTGCCCGCAGCAGTGCATCAGCCACGTTTACATCGACATTTATGCCTCTCAAAATAGCACCTGAAGCAGCGAAGGCCCGTCCTGACCTGGGTTCCACTTCAGAAGCCCCCAACCACCTGAGACTCGGCGGCGTGGTGCGTGCTCGGAAAACTCAGCCACGCACGGCCATCTTTGCACACACCCTGCAGGCGCTGGACTGATGTGGGTGCGTTTTGCAAGTCACTTGGTACTCCAGAACCCATGTGCAAAGAACTCGGACCTACCCATCGCACCGGGTGCTTTGTCTGGATCCAGGAATCCGACACCTCGCTGACCTGCACTACAACATCTGCGGCAGAAGCGGGATCCACAGCAGTCACAGGAGTGCACACTGCGCACCTGCATCCGCTGCTTCCTTCCGGCACTTGTGGCGAGTTCTGAAACATGTCAAGCCATCTACACCAAGTGCAGGAGATGTCCTCTTGGGACTCAGATCCGGAAGCTTTCCCAACGCTTTCTGAATCAGACTCGCTGCTAGAGCTTGACCCACCTTCAAGCACGAGGCAGTCCAAACTCCAGCAGTCGGCACTAGCTCAAAGTTTCGGCGGGATGTCGTTCAAGCATCGCCGGAGTGACTGGCAGATGAGGCTGGCGGAGGTGAACTTGCTTGTGCTGGGCCTTCTGGCTGCGCACCATAAGCCTCGACGAGTGACGGTGGCAGTGAAGCACTGTCGAAACGGAAGTAGTGGGGGCTGGGTAGGGAAACAAGAAATCTTAGTCGCCTTTGAACACGCCAACTCTATGTGACAGGTCCTGGTAGGAGCTCAGCCTTAGCCTTTCCTTCCACCACTTGTGGATCCCTGCTAGATGCTCAAAGTCGCTGTGCAACTTTCTCAGCCGACAACTTCCGAAAAACCGGTCGCATGCTGCCTGTTTCTGCCTGTACTGCTGCTGCTGCACATGAAGCCTCTGTTCCCGACCCTGCCTCTGCAGTCTCTGTGGCAGGGGTGACTTTCTTCTGCTTGTTCGGCGAAGTTTCGCTGCCACTTTCTGCATGCCCGTTGGACGTCGCCTTTGAGTCGGCAGCCAACCAAGCCAAGATTCGAGTTACTATTCATGTCGCGACGCGCCTGCCCGGACTTGAACGACCTCATCCTGCCAGTGCCAGCACAAAGGCAACTGCAGAATGTTCACAGTTCACAAACTACGCGAGAGGCTAGACGGTGCATGGTGTGCAAAACTCGCCCCAAGCTGTGCATCGTGGAACTGATAACCCAGCATAACATCAGCATTGGCCTTCGGTACCAATCGTCTCGAAAAGTCATGACCTGCCACAGTGATCGGATGCCGTAATTTTAACTAAGGTATCTAAGGCTACCTAATCAAAAGTTATGCAATCGTGCCTCCTCTTTTCCTTTCCCGTCTGCCAGCATGACGTAGCAGGCCCTCGCAACGACCTCTGCCGCATGCCTGGACCCGCAACCTCGGAATAAAGATCGCTGGAATGCTCCGGTGACATTGCCCATTCTTGGTTCATCCCTGGTTCGACTGGTTCGATTCGCGGTTTAAATCTCCTGTGGCCTATTCCTTTCCTACATGCGATGCAAGTTGGGCTGGTCATTCGAACTCTCCCCGCCGGCGTTTACGGCTAGTTTTCTGTGTGTCAACATGCGGATTCATGGCAATTACATGTGTTCCCAGCACGCCAAGGATCATAGACGAGTTGTTTGGCTTTCTCGTATCCATGACCTCGCAACACCTAATGCAGCTCCTTGGAATCAAAACACTTTCGTGGGAATGCGAAATTCATTTCCAGTATCCTGCCTACTCTCCGGAAAGTTGAGCCTGGGAACCGTGCGTAGGTTTCGGTCCTGTTAACGGTTCGGGCTTTGAAGATGCGCTACACCATCCTGGAACCCCAAGCGGCTTGCAAACTCTCAACCCCCCATCACCTGCACTTGCCGTCAGGCCATGACACCGCCCCCAACGAGGTAAGCAAAGCTGCACCCACCAACCAGCAAAAAACACACAAGAAACCTACAAAGTCCAAAGCCAAAACCGAAAAAAACTGCACCAACCCGTCGCATTGTGGCGCCAATCCTGCTTGCATGCGCAGCATCAAGCAACACACATACGCATCACGCCCTAGCATGCCCTAGCCTCACCGAACCCAACCCCACCCAAACCCTCGACGAGTGTGGCAAGCTTTCTAGCAACAGGGGGTTGATTAACATGCAAAAAACGAACAGATGTGGCACCGGGCTCATCGCGGCAACACTCGCGCTTCTCACTTGCAGAAAGACCCGAAGACGCGAAGCTAATCAGCAGACGAAGCTTGTGTGTAGTGGTTTGAAAAGGCTACAAGCCTTTATTCTTGCAGGCAGCTGCAACGTAATCGCTCGACCCAACCCAAACATTGCAGATAACCTGACGAAACATGAGCTTGACGTGACCTCACCTTACTTACATTATATGATTCGACTTATTTACCAAATGTTTAGATGCAAACTCAAGCCATCAAAGGCTTTTTCGTTTACGCTGATGTTCAGCAACCTTACCTGGCCTCGCTGCTGACCAAACCCAAACTTCCAAAGCGAACTGACCCGCCGGCCCTGAGGTAGCCCAGCAAAGCCGACGCCATGCATCGGTGGCCGGGTTTCGGGCTTGAAAGAGCTGTAGCCGATCCGGACAGAACGCGGCGGCCGTCAGGCAGACCGGTTCAGACGAGACCGAACCTCTAAATTGGAATTCAATGTGAGGGTCAACCACCATAAGTAGCCAACACCCCCCGGTCCCCCACCCTCTTGGCTGATGGATGCCACTGCCGCAACAATGCATGGAAAGCCAGACGTCGCCCAGTCTTCGTTCGTTGCACCCTGAGAAAGCAACACCAACTGCAGCCGCAAAGTTCACGCAACCCAACCTGTCCGATCTATCCACATGTTGGTCGAAACCAAGACCTCACAACGAGCCAAAGTACCCTCGCCTAACCTACTAAGGACCTACTTTGTCCCATCTTATAATCCGACGGAGCACCTAGCATAACCTTATGCAATCGATCCACCTAGCCTAGAACCTGACCTGACCTAACCTACACGAACTCTCCGAACCGAACGTAACAACCGACGCCGAAGCTTACCCAACCTCCCAAAAATCGAACCTAGCATAACCTAGCCTGACCTTGGATGACATAACCGTCACCGAAGCTGAAATCGACCCTAACCTTAGCCTTATCCATTCAGTTCGCCGCGGTTCGCCTTCAATTGCACCCGCCCCTGTACCTTCACCGTAACCTGAGGCTTGAAATGAAACCGAACCCAACGCAGCCCCTAACCCTAGCGTTGGCCTTGGCCAGGAGCCGCCGCCTCCACTGATCTACACTGCTTCCAGTCCGAGTCCTTCAAAGCAAGCAGGAGATCGGCAAATTTCACGACAAAGAAACGACAAACAACTGTAAAGTCAGCAACAGCAGTGCCGAGATGCTGCCGGCGTGGAGGCGATGGACAGCAGTGGGGGTCCCGTCTCAGAAGTCCTCGATGAGATTGGCACGCTTGATGCTTGTTGAGACATTTGTTGTGGTAGGCGTCGGGCTGCTTCAAGCTCTTGTTGTGTCCTCGACTGTAGCTCCTCTTGTTGCTTGAAGCGTTAACGCAATTCGACCAGCTCTTCATGTAATGCATGTGAAGGTCGTTCGCCAAGTTGAGCTGAGCTTGTCGTAGACGAGCTTCAGCTTGCTCCATCCTTTGCACAGCTTTCGATCGAGCATCTTCTTCTCTGCTCAAACGTTCATGTAACTCTTGATGCGCAACGTTGCTCAATTGCTGAGTACGCAGCATCTCATCATGAAGTGAAGATACGCTTGATTCCGCAGCAAGTATGGCGCTCCTAGCCTCACTCTGTGCCGTGTGCTCCTCTTGTCTCACCAAATTGATCTTGTTTGGCATCAACGCAATAGCTGACTATAGCTGACTGTGTGCTGGAAGAATCCATCTTCAATCGAAAATTCTCTCGAGTTTTCTTTTGAAGTTCATTCGCAAGAAACTGTTTACAGCTTCGTCTCGAAGCGTGGAAGATTTGCATCTCCTCTTCAGCATTCCTCAGTTGATCGATGAGTTGATTGTTCAGTGCTCGTGGTTGACCGAAAAAGCTCAATAACGGGAGATTCTGACGGAGTTCGTCACGGTGTCGAATTTCTTCATCCAACTCAACATCTGCATTGTTGTGAGAAGCATGCAGTCCCCGCGAATTGCGCTGACTGCACCCTCGCCAATGGCGCCGGGGAGGTTGGCTTTTGTAAGGTATTCCTCGAAATTCTGGATTTCATCTGTTCCGGACTTCTTGGTTCACGATCGTTTGCCTTCACCGTAGTTTGCAGACATTGCATCACCGTCTTGGACGGACGTCTCTCGCCTGCCTTCATCCTTAGACTTGCCGACGACTGTCGCAACAAAAGACGTTGTCTTCGGTGCCGAACTTGATCTCTTTCTTGGAAGACGACTTGAAGATGACGCTGAAGGTTTCGTCTTGTCTTCTTCTGTTGTTGCTGAATCCACTGAGATGGCCAAAGTATCAGCGGCTGTGGACTCACCTGCTGCTGGCATAGCAACTTCGCCACCTCCAAAGTCAGTGTCATATCTGCACTTGATCCAGACGCCATAGTTGTAGTCGACGACGTTCAATGGCAAGTCCTTTGTAGGCAGAGCCTACGGCTGATAACCTGCGTGAGGGTTTGTAGTCGATATGTTCGGTACTGCTGACCTCACCGAGCAATAAGATGTTGATGTGGTTGCTTTGTAGGACTGTCTGACTTCCCAATGCAGGCAAGCGCTGAACTCCTTTTCACACGACGGCTTCAGGTCGGCGCTCTCTGTGCAGCGGGGAACACACGCTCTATGGCTGAATCTCGGACAAGCAGAAGTAGATGCTTAAGCTATGTTAGATTCAAGCGTCTTGAGCCAAAGTTGCCATGTTGCGGAGCAAGTAATGATCCCGTACACGTTCGAACGAAGTCGCTCCGTGACGTTCACAACATCTGTTCAATGACTGACTCTGCATAGCTCCTTTAGCGCCACGACTTGCAAGAGGCATCGAGGACTGTTCGCATTCGGCCTTAAACCTTAGACCTTCACCCTTAGATCTTAAACCTCAAACCCTTTGAAGCCTTAAACCTTAAACCTTAAACGCCTTAAAGCCTTAAGCCTTAAACCCTAAACCCTTAAACCTTTAAACCTTGGCGCTTCAAACCCTAACCCTTAACTCTTAAGCCTCAAGCCTCAAACCTTAAACCGTAAAGTTTAAATTTGAAAACTTAAAGCTTGAAGTTTTTAACATTAGGCCCTAACCCTTACAACTTCGGTCGGCGGGTTTACGCGCTAGGAGCTTTTGACCTCAACTGTTTGACCTTTTACCCTCCTTTAGCCTAAACCTCAACCTCAACCTCCGCCTCCGCCTCAGCCCCAGGCCCAGCCCCAGCTCGGCCCCAACCTTTTAGCTTTGCCAGCCTTGCCGGTACCCGTACCCTGACCCTGCACCCTTACCACGACCATGACCATGACCACCCTCACACTCACCTACCGTAAACCCTACGAACAAAAAACATAAACCATCCTTAACCACGCCTGTCCTGGACCGTAACCTTGCCTTAGCCTGAGCCCAGCGCCAAGCCTAGCTTGGCCTTGGTCTTAATCTTAAATTCAACTTCGACCGGAACCTGGGCTCCAGCCTCAGCCATCTCAACCTGGGCCGTAAAGCCGTGACCCGAGGCCTTTGCCCGAGCCCGAGCCCTAGTTGCATCGGCCTCAGCCAAAGCCTCAGCCCCACTTTCAGCCGCAGCCTCAGCCTTAGCCGCAACTAAAAACCTAGACCAAAGCCTACACCTAAGCCCAATTTTGAAGCCCAACCTAGACACTGCTTCACCCATATGCCTGCACCTGCATCTACACCGACATTGACACCGATACACTATACTGGACTATACTCTTATACACCTGTGCACCCAAAAAAGGCCTAGAACACCAGCAACAACAGCGCTGGACTGCAGCAGTGCCCCAGAACCGCTTTGGTACGCGGTGACCCCTAGAAAAGTGAGTGCAATGGACGACTCCGCAAAGTCCGCGGTTGCCCTGAAGTGCAGCATGAACCTGACGAGCATGCAACATTCAAGTTGCAGAGACGTTCTCCGGACATATTTTCAGTAGTGGTGCCCAACGTGCAAGTGCTTGGCGTTATATCACTGCAAAAATGCCTTGAGGATCGCGGACAAAAAACGCAGTGGCGCTTAAAGGGGTTGATACAATAATTTGTGTGGGAATCTAAGCATCGATACCTCATGATCTGCACTCCAAGCCCGAGGGCGACGCCTGTTTCGGATTTCTGCGACCTCTCAAGTGATGGAACAGCCGACCCGAGATGGCTCAAAGGAGCAATTCAGTCTCGAGCATGGCTCACAACCGGATGGACTGATGCCTTCGGACAAAACGACCGGTGACACCAGTTGTGGAGATAATGTGTGCAATGTCGGTTCGTCTGTCCGTGGGTTTGGCCTGGTTAAACAATGTGTCCCGATGCGTAATGGTAGATCTTGAGCATAAGGTCGTGGATGACCTGCGCAAAGGGACCTACCGACCGCTTTTCCGCGCAGTTGGCCCGGGATCTGATTCGGGATGCCCTTGGCACCACGTCACTGCAGTTCGACGCAGCTTTGCAGATCCGCACAATCGAGTTTCACTCGAACTTTGTGCCAAACCTTCGCCATCAAGCTTGTTTTGGCCGATGGAAGGTTGGAGGGGAGGGCTCTGCCTCTTACATCCGAACTTCGACGCAAGTGGTGCATCGATTTCAACTTCACATTGCTCAGGCCTTTGGTGACAGGACAACCTAAGCATCACGAAGGCCATCAAGGCCTTGATCGACTTCGCTGCTAAGGTTGGCGAGTGCGAGTCTCAGGTTCGCCGACGCCATAATGACGTCCTCGAGGGAGCAAAGGGTCTGGGGGGTACCTGGCCGCTCCAGACAGCGAGGGTAAGCTCACGAAGTTTGAACGTTGCGTGTCTTGGTTTTGAGCTGTGACATGCACACGAAGGTACAATTTCTCAGGCTTGAGCTTGCTGGTTTAAACCTCAGTGTTTCGGCAAGGTGTTAGGCCCTGCCGCTTTGCACGACATGCCCTAAGCACATACTGGCAACTGCTGAAAGATTTCTGCACAAGACTTCCATGAAAGGTAAGGAACCGAAACTGGAACCACGAAGCGGCAACGCCGGTTTAAGAACTGCGAACCGCGAACCTGCCGAACCGAACCGTCACGTCGGTTCCCAGCTTGCCTGGCTAAAGGCCTGGAACCTTCTGACTTTCTGCGAGGGAAACCTCTGTCATTTACAGGCCGGAGACGTGTTTGGGTCTGGTTGAACAACAGCATTCAAGAGCATTCAAAATCTAGCATCGAGGCCATCCGGGTTATGGGATCTTCTGGAAGGTTAAAAACGTATTCCAGAGCGTCCAAAATCGCGTATCCAAAGCATCCGGGTTTTGTTTGACTTGCCTCTGCTTGCCTTGTCAAAGGCATGGAACCTTCTGTCCCTCTGCGAGGGAGTCCAGTCTTCTGTCATGTACAGGGCGGAAAAGTGTTTGGATCTGGTTGAACAACAGCATTCAAGAGCGTTCAACATCCAGCATCGACAACATGCCGGGCCCTTTCCTGAACCCCCCGCACGGCTGGGCGGTGGGGCCGGACGCGGTGGAGTCCGGACGCGGAGTCCCCCAGAGGGCCCCAATAGCCCCTGACCCGGATGCTTTGATGCTCGAACGATTGCTGGAATGCGACTAAGAGTGCGAAACCCTGGACTCCCCCGCGTCCGGCCCGACCGACCGGCCACACGGGGAAGTCCAGGATTCCGGCCCAAAACCGCTGACTTAAGGCCCAAAACCACGAAACGCTGGACTTCCCCGCGTCCCCCCCCACCGGCCGGAGCTGCTCGCGGGCAGCCCGCTTGAATGGTAGTAATGGTAGTCTTAAGTAGCAGTAGAAGATACGAGAAGTAGCGGCGGTGGTAGAAATAGGCGGCAACACCATCTACATAGGATGCGTGTACGGGCAGATATTTTGTTAAGGGTTTATGAATTTTAATTTAAGGGGCTGCGCCCAGAGTCGGGCAACGCAGGCAATTCATTCATTCATGCATTCCTTACTTCATTCATTCATTCATTCATTCATTCATTCATTCATTCATTCATTCTTTCATTTCATTTCATTTCATTTCATTTCATTTCATTTCATTTCATTCATTCATTCATTCATTCATTCATTCATTCATTCATTCATTCATTCATTCATTCATTCACACACATTCATGCAAAAAATACGTACACATATCTGCATATGTGCATATACGAGTAAGTTAA